CGCCGCCCGCCCCTCGCCGCCCACCCCTCGCCGCCGTTCTCGCCTCCCGCTCTCGCCCTCACGCGCGCGCGCGCGCGCGTGTGTGTGTGTGTGTGTGTGTGTGTGTGTGTGTGTGTGTGTGTGTGTGTGTGTGTGTGTGTGTGTGTGTGTGTGTGTGTGTGTGTGTGTGTGTGATGGGAAGGGGGGGGGGGGGGAGGTGCCCGGCCCGCCACGCGGAGGAGCGGCCCGTTAGCACTCACTGGAGCTCGCCACGCCCGCGAGCAGGCGGCCTCCTCGCGCCGGCGGCGGACGGGCGGAGGCGTCCTCTGCTCGCGCTGCGCACGCTGCACGACATGTCGGAGCTCGTCCCCTTCGTGTCGCAGCTGCACGACCACCTGGTGCGCGCGCGCCGCGCCGCCACCGCGGCCCCGCGCGGGGGCGCCTGGCTGCGGGAGGGGCCTGACGCGTGTGCTGCGCCGCAGGTGCGCTCCGCGCTCGAGCCGCGCGGCACCCAGGTCGACGCCCCGATGCTCGACATGCTGCTCGGCTGCGCCTTCCTCCCGCCCGCAGAGGCGGAGGCGGCGCTGCGGCCGCACCTCGCGCCGCCGCCGCAGAGTAGTGCCACAGACATCCCGCACTGGCACTGACACCCGCCGCCCCCGCGCGCGCCCCACCCCGGCCGGGAGAAAGGGGAGTGACAGTTTGGGCTGGCAACAGTCGAGAAGCCTCGCACTCCATGTGCGAGAACGCAGGGGTAAATGTAAGCCGGATGGCATTTTCTTTTTTTGGCCCTTTGCCCACACTTGTGGTGTGCCGGCGGGCCGCGGGCGGGCGGGCGGGCGGGCTTGCGCTTGGCGGGCGGGCGGGCTTGGGGCTCGCGTCTCAATGACCGTCTCTATCAGTAGCAGCCCGGAAGTAGACCAGCGGTGGGTGGCCGTCTGTTGTGCCTGCACCCGTCAACCCTGACTGTAGCATCCGTGTGTGCGGACCACATAGACATACGACATAGTTCCCACGCATTACAATCCAGGGCTCAGAGTCGTCAGACGGCGAGGAAGCGGGCGTCAAAGGCGCCCGCCCCCGTGGTGACCATCTCCGTCTCTTTGGCAGGCCCGCGCCGCAGGCCTCCCATGCGGCGCTTCTTCCCTCCCTGGTTGCTGACGACGCCGTAGCCAGCACCGGCGCCACCAGCCTCGGTCGGGAACGGATCCGCTTGGCCAGGCTCCTCGCGCACACCGCCGGGCGCAAAGCGGCTGCTTGGATGGCCCTGCTGGCTCCGACTGGCACGCTGGCGGGCCCCAGTCGCGTCGCGCGATGAGGCAGCTTCATCGCGACAGCCGCAGCAGTTTGGCCGGCAGCGGCGCGGGCAGCCGGGCTCGAGCCCGACGCCGCCCTTGCCAACCTGAATTCCAATGGCGGACGGGATGTAGAGGAGGTAGAGGAAGCCGCAGCCGAGCAGCCCTGCCGACGCGAGGATCACGATGAACTCGTTGATCTCCTCGATCGCTGCGATCATGTCCTCCCACGCCACCCTTACCCACCGGCACTCGCCAACACGATACAGCAGGTTGAGCAGAGACGGCACCTGCTGGTGCAAAGTAGGGGACTGAGCCACAGTGTGGGCCATCGCTGGGCGGATGTCCACTACTAGCTGGCCTGGACGATGGCCGCGTTGAGGAAGGCCTCGTCGGCAGGGCAGAGCTGGCCGAGGATGGACCTCGCCTCTGAAGTCTGCTCACGGACGACGGCGAGCGCCGCATTTATCGCCTCGGCGTCCGAGAACGACAACTCGCCGAATGCTGTGGCGGTGATGCCCTCCACCGAGGCGCTCGCCCCGCTCGAGAGGTTGGTGAGCCGTAGCGAAGCGCTCGCGTTGGAGAGTTCGGCGACGACGCGTGGCAGGCAGGTTGAGCAATCCCCGGTGAGCCTGTTGGCAAATGTGGAGTAGGGGATATCCGGAGCGAGCATCCCCAGAGCCGTCGACAGGAGGTCGACCCCGGACCAGCAACCGTTGAGGATATGGGAGATCGCTAAGCAGTACTGGGGAACGGCAACGTCAAGATCGTCGGAGAGCATGAGGTCGGGGCTCAGCTGCGTCGGCACCACGCCGCGGCAGACCTTCGTCTGGTTGAAGGTCCAAGCAAACCTAGGAGCCGATTAGCGCGTAAATAGGGGTCCGCTGCCCCTCGAGACTCCTACGTGCTGGCGCACTCGGAAGGCGTCGTGTACAGCCACCCAAGCGTGTCGCTGAGGCTGTGAGAGACGCCCCAGAGCACGGCGCCAAGGAAGAGGAACACGAAGCAGAAGAAGGTCCCCAGCGCCCAGGAGACGCCAATGCACTGCACGGCGGCGGAATGGCCGCGGCTGCCCGGGCGGGAGAGCATCGGCGCGCATAGGCAAGCGAGTGGCGCAAGCAGCAGCGGCGAAAAAAAGGCGGCAACAGCGACGCCCGCAGGCCAGTTGCCAGATGGTAAGCGGTCCAGACGGCCGTCCACCCACTCTCCATAGTCGTGAACGTCTGCGTAAAACTCGTCTGCGAGACCTCCCAGCTGCCGCATCGCCACGCTCATGCGGTTCAGCTGGTGTGCGAGGTCGGTCGCCCCATCGACAAGGGCGTCCGACACGCCCGTGACCTCGCCAGTGCTGTTTGCCGCCTCCTCACAGGCCACATCGAGGGCTGAATAGGCGTCGTGCAGGCGGGAGTAGAGGACGTTCGCTGCCACGCCCGGATCGCCGCTCCCAACGTCGACGTCGCCCGGTGCGTCGGGTTTGTCGAGGCTGTCGAAGGGAGGCGCCTCTGCGCCTGCGTTCAGGTAGCCGTCTATGTCGCCCATCGCCTGCCAGGCGGTCGTCACGTGCCGGCAGGCATCGACGACTGCGGAGCCCATCGCCTCTGGCGAGCACTCTACGCCGTTTACTCGCGCGTAGATCGCCGTCGACGTTGCATTCAGGGACGTGGCCAGCGCGTCGGCATTCGTGCTGAGCTGCGTGAAGTAATTTTCCATCAGGTCGATGACGTAGTCGACGGTGCACTCGACCTGATCGATGCTCGAGTAGAGGTCAGCAGCCGCGAGCACACCGACCAACGCGCAGGCGCACAGCGAGACGGAGAGCAAGCCAAATGCCACCCAAGTCGCGACGGCGCACTTTGGCCCGTAGGTCCAACGTGGCGGGCACGCAGAGACCTCGCGGGGAGTGCAGCAGCGGTGCGCGCAACAGCGGGCAATGTAGAGTGGAGTCACCAACACGAGCATCAACAGCGCGAAGCCGAGGGAGGGCGCCCAGACCGGCGCCATGTCTACGATGTAGGCCCGCACTGCCGACCGGACCTCCGAGTCCTCGAGTGCCGGCTCATGAAGCGCTGCGTGGATCACGGGCTGGATCGCGCCTCCCTCGCCCAGCAGCCGGTCTCCAATTGCGCTGGTGTCGACGGGCAAGAGGTAGGAAGCGCCTGAGAGAGCCATGGCCGACACAGCGTGGGCGCACGTGACGACTGGCGTGGCGGCGGGCGCGCTGCGCGCGGCAGCGGCGTGGTGCCGGGCTCGCTGCTCGCGGGGGGCTGGCTGGGTTTCAGCTGCAGCTGTCCAACACGGCGTGACTGTACGTCAGTAAAATGGGGCTCTCGCGCCGAACGGGGTGGGGGCGGTGCGCCTCCGCTGGGACAGTAGGGTCCGTGCTCCGAGGGGTAGGTGAAGTTCGCGGTGCTCTGGTTCGCTGCGAGGGCCATGTCGCGCGATTTGACACACGCTGCAAGTAGGCTTGAGCGTTCGCGCCCGCCCAAGCGGCCGGGTTTTAGGAACCTCTGGCCTATCACGGCGTTAAAAGTCGGTCCCCGAACTTCCAAGTGATCTGTCGTCTGGGAGGGTCCGCCCGCAGACGCATTTTGCATACCGAGGCGGTGCCCGGTGCCGAACCTGTCGGACCTTAAGACAGCGTTGATCCCTGGGCGAGGGTGGTGGACTTCCAAGTGCTTTACGAAGTGCGTGCGTCGTTCGCTCGTTCGTTCGTCGCCAGGCGCGTCACCGCCATCAATCAAGAAACATGCAGAGCTGCCAGATTTTTTTTTTACTTTGTGCTCACAGCGCGAATAAATACCGTTAGACTCCATGCACCATGAGCATGATACCAGATACCACGTACCAACCAGCCAGATACGGACGGCCGGTGAAAGTGTGTCTCATGTCGGCTCTCAAGCCAATCGTGCGCAGCGTGTGTGTGCGTGTGGACCCGTCGTCCGTGCAAGGACGTGTGTACGTCTGACTGACCGACTCCTCCTCACAACAGATCACATCCAACAAAAGATCTCCCCAAATTACCTTTCCGTGTGTACTTGTTACGTGAAAACCCGCTAGGACCCGGACGCCAGCACACACGGCTAGATTTCATGGCGGGCCGCCTAGGCCCTGGGGTCGGAGGTAGAGTCGGCGGTGGTGCCGCGCGCGGCGCGGGCTTCGCTGTCGCGGGCGTTCCGTGCGAACAAACATACTCGCTTAGTGTAGGTAAAGGTAAACGGAAAAAGTAGATTTGAATTCGTCCACGTACGGCTTCGTGAGTGGTTGGGGTGGCCTCAGGCATCCCCAAGGGAGCCTCTGCGGTGCCACATAAGCAGCTTAGTGATTGTCGAGACTTTAAAGTGTTTCGTTTGAAGAAACGCAAACACGACAGACGGTACTATGGTCACCAGTAAACCATAATTCGACTTTGAGGGATCATATCTCAAAAAGCCGGGAGATAGCAGAGCCTTATTGTTGCATATTATGCCACATAAGGTCAAACTCGACCCCACAAGCATCAAGAACCCGATGCTCCGGCTCGACTGTGCCGGCACACTGCCTCCTCGCGCCAGCTGCTCGCAGGCCGTCGCGGCCCGTGGTGCACCAGAGAGAGAGGTCGACACGTTGCCCCCGCCGGCGAGTCCGCGCGGCTCAGGCCGGCCAGAAGGTGTGTGGTGACGGCACCGTGGCAGGAATGCGGAGAAGAGCTCGCCGAACGCGAGCAGCAGATGGCCAAAGTGTGCCAGCGCGAGAGCCTCGCGAGCGGGCGCAGAAGGAGCTCGCCGTGACACGATGCCGGGCGGTGGTGGTGCTCTGGCGACTGTGCACAGTGGGCAAAGTCAGGCTGCAACAGGGCAGCACGATGGTAGTGCCCTGCTGCAGCCTGGCCTGACATGCACAGGGCGAACAGAGACACTACTATCGTCCGGCGCTCGTCACCGAATCTGGGCGAACTTCGACCGCCGCCACAGCTCACCACGAGCACGCAGCACCCAGTTGGCCAGACGCTCGGCATCGGGTTGCGGGCAAGAGATCCCTAGCCCTGGGGGGTGCGCGGTCGCAGGGCCATAACACGGGTCTCCGAGGGTTGGTTCCGTGTACCGGGTTTCCCCTAGCTTAACTGCAGAACGCCCCCTCTACTCGGAGCTAGTAACACAGCAATACTCTCCGAGGGTTGGTCTGCGCTTTGGGTTTGCCCTAGCTGCGGAGCGCCCCCTCTACTCGGAGCTAGTGATACGAGAATACGTACCGCTCCTACGCAACACCTTACTATACTACAAGAATAACCTCCGCCTCCGCCCGCTTGCGCTCGGCCGCCAGGCCGTCAGCCGGTAGTCCGCCGACGTCTCGCGCGCGTCAGCCATGACCTCGCTCTTCAGGGACATTTTCGACGCTTTTGTCCCATCCCCTATACTGACGTACGGCTTTAGAGCCGTACTCGCACAACATGCCAACACGAGACGTCAGACGAACATCCATGTGGACCATGCCCCGGCGCGTGCGGCCCTTTTTCGTGTTTCAATACTTTATATTATAGGAGCGGCCCTACGCCCTTTTTCGTGTTTCAATAGCCGTAGGGGCTAAACCTGAGAACCCCTGTACGTCTCTCTCACCCTGTACGTCGAGCAGACACGATTTCTTTGCAGTCGCCTCCTTCATCTAACCTGTATACGAGCAGACGGTTGGCGGCGACGTGTGGCAACGAACCGTTTAACTAATAGCCGAAGGTAGGGGTCAACCCTGTACGAGCGCCGCGGCCAGTGTCGTGCGGCTGAGACCCTTCGCCGTGTTCAAGCCGAGCGCACGGTCGAACTGTGCGGTCGCCACCCCGACCGCTCCGAAGAAAGTCGCGTGGCTGAGGTCGCTCTCGACGAAGCTGGTCCGCGAGAGGTCTGCCCCGTCGAAAGTGGCGTGCCGCAAGTTGGCTTGCTCGAGCTTCGCCTCGCGCAGAGTCGCCCCCGAGAAGTTCGCGTGCGGCAGCACGGTCTGGTCAAAATCGCTCCGGTCTAGCTTCGCGCGCACGAAGCTCGCCCTCGCCGCCACGGCGTCCTTGAAAGTCGTTTCGAGAAGGCGCGCGTCGTCGAATGCAGCGCAAGTCATCTCCACGCCCTCAAAGTTCGCCTTCCACATATCGAGCCCGCGCAGATCGCCGAACGCGAGGTCCTCACACTGAAAGTTGCCGGTGCTGCTAAAGTCGGCCTGTGGGCCGGCAAGGAAGCAGCATGCGCAATCGGGCGACGGCTTTGGGCACCGGTCGAGCGCCGCTGCGTAGGTGGGCTTGAGAAAGCAGGAAGGGCCGTCCGGACGCGGCACCACGTGCGTCACGGCGGCGGCAGCGCGGGACGTGTAACTGTACACGTCGATGAAGTAGCACTCGTGCTCGGTGCCGCCGCTCGCGCCCGACCGCTGCACTGTCTCAATTGCGCCGCACGACGGATCGCGAGAACACTCGGCTTTGCAGGCCTCGAGCGGCGCGGTGCCTACGAAGTCCTTAGCTGGGCGCCGCCACTGGTGCTTCCGCGTCACCGCGGAACCTGCACACGCGCCCTGCTTGCTGCTCCTGCGTCCGCCGCCCACACTGTTGGGCGGAAGCCATTCCCCCATGGAGGCGGAGACAGGACCGCGCAGGAGCAACCGGGCAGGCGACGTCGGGATAGGTGGCGGCGCCGAGGACGGCAGAGGAGCCGCCGCCGTGAAGACCTTGTCGGAGCAGCACCCGTGGCAGGCGCATCCGATCAGTGCGAGCGTCGCACAAGTTGTCGTCCGAGACAGCGCCGCGCAGGTGGTTTTCCCACAGGCCGTGTTGCACGCAAGCGGCGGCGGAGGCGGAGGCGCGACAACTTGGCAGCAGCGAGCGCAGTCACAGTCCGAAGCAACCGCGTTGAGGGCATTCATCTCGCCGCACGACATGATGGTGTAGTAGTCCTCGCACGTCTTGCCGAGGCAAGGAGACTGGCATCCGCCAGAGAAAGCTGGAGCCGCAGTGGCTGCCGCTGCAGCCATGCCGCCGCCGCCGCCGCCGCCGCCGCCAGCCACAGCTGCAGTCGCGGCCGCTGGACTCGCTGCCGCAGTGCTGCCCACACCACTCGCAGCAGCCCACATAGCACGGTAGGAGGCGGCAGCTGGGCTGGCGGCCACGGTTTCAAAGCAGCAGCCCTGACAGTCACAGCCCAGCACCGTGGCAGACTCCGTGCAGCTGAAGAGGCCGCTCAAGCCGATACACGTGGACAGCGCGCACGTGCGCTGGCAAACGGCCGGCTCGACAGCGTCGAAGCAGCAGCCGCCGCACCGGCAGCCAAGCACTGCCGTCGACCTCGAGCATGTCAGTTCCTCGAGGAAGTCTTTGCAGACTGTGTTGACGCCGCCCGGCGGCACGCAGGGCGTAAAGCAAACGGCCTTGTCGTACGCGGAGCCCGGCAGCGCCAGGAAGGCCACGAGAAGCATTGTGACTGACTGCCTGAACACAGGTCGCTTTGACAAACGGGGGATTCTCCCCAAACCTCGAACCTTGCTCGGCTGATCTTGGGCAAAGAAACCAGTACCTCATCGGGTTTCCCTGAGCGTCACAGCTCGGTGATCGCGCCGGCCGGACACCACTGACTGAGACGGCCGTTCCGGGCATTTGAACGCGACCTTCGGGAGCAAAGACATGGGCTCTATGGCTCAGACTGGACTCCTCTTGGTCCCTTCTGATGCCCTAGGCCACACCTGGGCCTTACCCGGGGTTCTAGGGGGCGGGCTGGGTTTGCCCCCCCGAACTGGCCCGACCGAGGGACCTTAACTCTGTCAGAACAGATTGTCAGAACAGCGAACTTGGACTCGAAGTTGAAAAGGGAAGTTTGTGTCAGAACGGGGACCAAGTTTGTGTCAGAACAGGGCCTACGCCTCAACGTGAGAGTGTCGCGCAACTGGGAATGTCAGAGCCCCTGAGCTGTGAAGAGAGGGGAGGATTTTGCGCTGTCAGAACGTTGTCAGAACACTGTCACGGTCCCGCACCCGTCGACGAAGCTCCCCCCGCGGAAGACCGCGCGTAGCGACGCCTTGACGATCGAGATGAGCGCGCTTGAAGCTCGCCCACCTACTGCCCCTGACTCTCTCTCTCTCTCTCTCGGCAATGAAGGCGTGCATCGAGAAAAAGAATTCTACGATTCTCCGAGTCGTGGTGGGCGAGTGTCAATCGAGGGCAGTACCGTACGCAACGCGCTAGAACCTGCTCACCCCACAAGAACTCGGGGAGCGCGAAATGAAGCTCCTCTCTGCCGGCGCAGCGGCCCACGCCGCCGCCGCCATTCTGCTCGCATCCTCTGCCTGCACGCCACCCGCCGTCGCCATCTCGCAACCGATGCGCCAGGCCGTGCTCGAGGTGGCCGACGCCGCCTACCCAGTGGTTGCGTCAGTGCGAGCCGACGCAGCAGGGCCCTTCGCCGTGCAGGCCGCGGCGCTATTCGCGGCCGCTTCGCCGCTGGAGGTGGCACGCACCGCCGAGAAGCTGTCCGACGCGCTGCTCTCCATCCCGCCCGAACGACTCGACGCCGCGGCCGCCTCGTGGAAGAGTGCGTATGCAGACGTGGCCCGCTCCTCGAGCTGCAACGTGCCGCTGCCGCCCACCGACGCCCTGCGTGTGGCGGCCTCCGCGTGGGACACCGCCGCCGCCTCGGTCGACCCCGCCAGCGTGGCGGCGGCGGCGCGGGTGGCGAGGCCGCTGCTGAGTGCTGTCGTCCGCAACGAGGAGGCCATCTGCTTGCCGCCGCTGCCCGCATTCGAGACTGCTGCGCTCGCGACGGCAGACGCGCTCGCATCGGCCGACCCGGCCGCCCTGTCGGCGGCGAGCCGGCAGGCGCGCGCCGCGTTGGGGTCCGTGCCGCGCGCGCAGGCGATGTCGGCGATGCCGCAGATGCAACAGCAGGCCACCCGTCTGAGCGATCTTCGCTCTCGCCAGCGGCTCAAGGCGCGCCCCGGCCGAGAGCCCCCTCACACCGGCCCAGCTCTCAGCCTGGCACTCCGGGGCGCAGGCGGCGATTCGCGGCGTCGGCGAGGCGCGGGCCGAGCAGGCACGGAGGGAGGCGGAGGCGGCCGCGCCGAAAAGGTGCTTCACCATGTCATGCTACGACTACTCCCTCGACACGGGCAAGGGCCGCGGTGGGATCGAGGGCTACTACAGGCCCCTGCCCGATGTGTGAATCGCATTCCCATTCGCCAAAATTGATGCCGTTTTCCAGACGAGTCACAAAGACATGTACATTTGAGGCAAACTGCGGGTAAATACATATTTTTGAAGGGATGAACGCGAGCTCGTGGGTCTACGAAAGCACCGCTTGGCGGTGTCAGAACCGCCCTCTTTGACCCTGGGGGGCCGAATCTGCGCCCTCTGGGCCCCGGCGGCGGTCCCGGAGAGGGCCGGCACGCGGGCTCCGCCGACGCTCTCGCAACGCGGGTCGCGCCGCGCGCCTCCCAGACGAAGCGTGTTGGTGCGCGACGGCGATCCTCGCCTGTGGGGAGCGGAGCACACGCGTCGGATGGCGAGGGCAGCACAAATATTGCACTCATGTCCCAGCATGGCAGCAGCGGGACGGGTTGGGTGGCGTGAGGACAGGGTGGTGAGGATGATTCCACAGATCTCGCTGAAAATGGCCGTGTCCTTCCCGGGGGAGGCAGGCGAGCACGCACCTCGCGTCTGAGCGCGAGTCGACGAGTGGTCGCCGAGAGATCGCCGAACCACGTTTCGAGTGCGCGCGCACACAGCACAGCTGCGGGTTGTAACTCGACTGCCGATCGCGCGTGCGGGATGTAAATGCAGCTCGCTGGCGCCAGTGCACGGTGGCAGGGACTGGAGGCTCGGCCGAAGGGGAAGAGCAGTCCTCAATCGTCACGTAGAGGTCGCTGGGCGGGATCAATCGAACTGCCACACACCTGGAGCGGAGGCACATCAGGTCTTGCGGCACACTCTCCGACAGATGCATGCCTTATGAGCAAGCCCACGCGCCTCCACCGTCGCGTAGTATGCCAGCGGCACGCCGGTACGCCTACGAGTCGTGCACGCTCGGCAGAAATCGGCGTCGAGACTGCCTAGCGCGCACATCGAGAGCGCCGAGTTGTGTTGCCGCGAGGAATCCTGCTCGAAGATGGGGTCCGAGCGGCGCCTGATCGCATGGGATGGATCAGTGGGGCTATCACGTGGGTACTAGGCCTGCTCAGTCAGGAGTTGGCGAGTGTGGGAGATTCACGCCCGTCGCTCAACGTCTGTTGAAAAACTGTTCGCTGAGCAAGCTCACGGTCGAGCGGGCTTGACGCGCGCTTCAGGATAGCAAGAGGCGTGCCCACTCCCCTGAGGAGCGTGCGGGCACGCCTGGGAATCGTTGTGGAGCGACCATGGACTGGGATGACAGCCGGCGAGCGCTGCGCCAAAACCATGGCGCCGAAAAGCGTCCGCCCTCGGCGTGCTGGACGCTTCACGGCGGAGGCTGTGAAGTCGCGGCATCGAGTTCAACCTCAGCGCACGCACGCACCGTGCTGGGGAGGAGTTGGCCTGCGAGTGGCGAGCGCTCCCGAGCGCGCGGCGCCCCGTTCTGGCCATCTTGCGCTTTACCACCACAAAATCGCCTCCACATTTTGCGCGCCTCCGGTGGCAGGTCTAGCCGGGCCCGATTCGTGGTACTTTTGATGTTTGCGCGCCGGATCTCGACTCCGCCGTGCTGCGGTGCGTCCCAAAGCAAAACGTGTGTCAGAGGGGCCAGATTGGCCGAGTTATAACGACGAGACCGCGTCTGAAGGCTATTTTGCCGCGACACCGATACCCGGTTGAGGGCCCGCGGTTGTGGCTAGTGGAGGGTGCTGTACAATCCGAGGGGGTTCCCATGGCCCCACGGGCCCGGGCGAGGATCGTGGCTAGAAAAATCAAAAAGTACCATCCGTGGGGGCGAGAATTTTAACTGTGTAGCTCGATTTTGACCCAGAACTACACAGAACGTCCCCAAATCGGCCCGGAACCGACCCATGGGCCCGTCTGCCGCACCCAGCTCCGCCGGGAGGGGCGCGCGCCGTTCCCCGCGGCTCGGGCGGGCCACGCAGATGCGGCGGGAGAGCTTCCCGTGCCCTATGAGTGCCGCCACACCGCCTCAAATAGGTCCCAAAGTGGGGTTTGCCTCAAGTGCATGTACAACGGCGCAAACCGCGTCATCGGGGACGCAGAACAGCGCAGAATCCACAAGGCACTGTGGCACCACGCAAAATTAACAAAGGTAATCAAGCGGGAGAGGCACGGAGGCGATGCGGCGAGGGCGCAAGCCACGCGGGATGCATGCCGACACCATCTGCACAAAAAATGAGCAAACGACTTGAGAAGATGGACTCGACGGAGAGAGCGGTGGGAGAGAGAGCGGCGGTACATGAGCTGGAGCGACTAATAACGACGACAAAGCAAGGACTGATGATACGATCCGTCAGATCCGTGTTTTTCTCGTCTTGCGGTACATCTCTCCGCTCGCCACCTCACGCTCCGCCGTCCGGCCATGGATGGTTCGATGGAGCTCGCCGAGCTCCATCGAACCATCCAGCTCCGGTCACCGGGTCTGAACGCGCTCAGCCTCAGGAGCGAGGTACCAAACCGCGCGAATTCTGCACGCCTCGCTGCACCGCTGGCTTGACTGAATCAGGCAGCAGCAGGCTGCTGCTGCTGCCACAGCAGCAGTCTGCTGCGGCCCCAATGCGCAAGTTAATGACCAGCATTGCTGCCGGGAGCATTCGAGCCGCCACAGCGCCGGTGTGCGGCTGTGCACTGCCACCTGCCCGCGGCTACGCACAATGTGCGCTCGCATTGGATGAGCCCTGCTGATGGACCTGCGTCGCCTAGCTGCACGAGAGCAATGCCGTAGGCGGCGGCCGTGGCATACACTGCGAGCACACTTGGTGCAGCTGCGGTGCAGCAAGAGCACGTCGTTCCTGCCTCTGATGCCACTCTCGCGGCTTGTAGCGCGTCACTCGCGCACGCTCTCCAGGAGCTCTATGGCGGGCGCGTGTGTGCGGCCGTACCAGGGTAGCCTGTGTTTGGCCGGTTCTGAACCATTTACTATCAGTACCATGCCTCGGCCACAAGAATCGCACACGGGGAGCGGCTCAGGGGCCCAGTAAGCCGCGGAATCGCCAAATGTCACAACCCGTGCCACCCAGGGCTGGACCTAGTCGGCTGTGCGCCGCCGCTGGCGAGCTGCGCCGCGCTCCTGCCTCCTGGGGCGTGGGGGCCGCCCGGGCCGCCTCCTGTGAGGGTTTTCTGTGAACTGTGTGTGTTTCGTTCGGCTGATTATATGTAAAAGAGGAGTGCAGAAGATTGGACAGGGGAGGGACGCGGCCAGAAAGAGGGCGGGCGCCGAGGTTCGAAAGCCGGCGCTTTCGCGCGTTCGAAGGGGCTTTGTCTCGGAGTTTGTGCAAATTTGCGGTTGGCCTTCGCCCTGCGGCGAGATGGCACCGCAGGCGGCGTGCGTGCACGAGGGCGGCGGCGTCGAGCGCCGAGCAGCACACCACGAGCGCGAGCGGCAGCGCCGACGACGGGAGGCGGCGGGCGGCTCGACCGAGCCGGCGGCGGAGGAGGCGACGGACGTCGAGGCGGTGAGCGCCGCGGACGTGCTGGCCGGCGTGGAGGAGAGCGGCCCGAACTACGCCCTTCCGACGGCGAGGGAGGGCCAGAGGGAGCGGCGGGAGCGGCTGCGGGTGGACGAGACGGCGAAGCAGGCGGGGCACACCATCGTGGAGAGACGGGAACGCACGTCGAGATCCTGGGCGAGCAAGGCTTGTGGTTGGCCGGCCACCATCGCGGGGCGGGAGGAGGACGTGGACGGCCGGCTCGTGCACGAGGTCGAATACGAAACGTTATAAAAGAGGTGCCCCTGCTTGCTGCGGTAAAAAAATCTCTCTCACACACACACGCGCAGAGCCCGGAAAACAAGAGATCTGCTTCTCACACAAGGAAGGTTAACATCTCGTTGGCGGCCCTGCTGGCGCACGAACGCAAACACCAAAGAGCCGCGGCGCCCTTCGACTGACCAGCAGCACAAGCCACGGCCGCGACTGCACGTGCACCGCATGGCGCGGAGAGAGCGCGTCACAAGTCCTCCTTTAGGCTCCCTGTCTCGTCGTCATCCTCCTCCTCGAACCCAAACTCGGCGCCCCCGCCGACGCCCTCCCCGTCCGCCTCCTCGCCCGCCTCCTCCTCGTCGTCGAAATCGAGCCCCTCCTCCTCCTCCTCCTCCGCCCCCTCCTCCTCCTCCGCCCCCTCCCCGCCCCCCTCCGCATCGAACATGCCCCGCAGGTACTCCTCCTCCTCCTCCGCCATCCTCTGTCTCCGGCGCGCCTCCGCCTCGCGCGAGTCCGCGCCCCCGCCTATTCACAGCGAGATGGGCCGTGAACGCACCCCCAGCGACCCCTCCGAGCATGCCGCGCCGCCCCTGCACCTGCACCTGCACCTCCGCCCCCCCCTCCAGCGGAGCTCTGCCCGCCGTCGCGGCGCCTCTCGCCGCCTTTGCGGCCGCCGCCCGCCTCCCCGCCGCGCCGCTTGCTCCCGCCCGCCGCTTTGCCGGACGCGGCGCTCTTCTTGCCGCCGCCGCCGCCTCCTCCGCCACCGCTGCCGCCGCCGTCCGAGGCGGACGCCTGCTTTCTCCACTTGATTTGGGGCAGCCGGCGGAGCGGCTTCATCTCGAGCGCCTCCGCGACGTGGTCCGCGAGGAAGGCACGCAGCGGCTCGAGCGAGAATGCGTCGCGGTGCGCCTTTGCCAGCACGCTCATCTTTTGCTGCCCCTTCTCCTTGCTGCTCTTGTCGCCGCCGCCGACGGTGGACGACCGCACCGCCAGCAGCCGCGGCTCGGCCTTGTCCCTGCCTCCCTTGTCCTTGCCTCCCTTGTCCTTGCCTCCCGCCGCGCCGTCGGCGGCGGTGGGCATCAGCTTGGAGAGCGAAAAGTCGTACCGCGCCGTGTTGACCGTCACAAACGAGACGGCGCGATACTCTTTGAGCAGCCGCTGCAGCGTGCGCGCGGCGGCGCCCTTGAGCTCGCCGTCGGACATGACCACCGCGCACAGCTTCCGGCGCAGGCAGTGCGCGGTCAGGTGCTCCGTCTTGGAGAGCGTGGCGACGCGCGGCTCGATGGCGGCGGCCACGAAGCTCACCAGCGCCGCCGCCTGCTGCCGCGGCGTC